AAATAAGAAACTAGTTCCAGTTTTACCTTAAATCATAGTTCGTTATCAAAGCTCTGGTAAAGAGCTTATAATTTTTACAAAATAAACATCTGTAATACGAAGTTTCTTTTAAATAGTATTAGTACTTTTATTATGTTTTATTTAATGAGTAAAAATGGTATGGTAACCCCGCCCGCGCTATCGGTATATACCGACGAGGCACCAGTGGAAAATGATAGGTGAGAATGAATGCAGGTCAGTTGGCCCACTATGATGCATTCGACAAGAAATAACCATGATGGTTTCCAGGGGGAAACCGCGTGGAGGTCGACCTGAGAGGGTATATTGCTAGCCATGGGACTATTAGACCTTATTACTAACAAAACCCTTTCTCCCCCAGTATTAGATGTTGTACAATTGATTTCTTAGATACAGGATATAAAATATTAATGAACATTATAATAAAGGGTCAGATAGAATAAAGGAGGGGAGGGAAAAGTAAAAGTTGGAGACATTGTACAAAAGTCGATTGCTTCGGTACCTCTGTCCCATTCGTGTTTCAACCGTAAAGCAGTTGTGTTTGCATGGCTGTGTTTCGGTTTGAAGGGTGGCGTGAATTTACTGGGTACAGATGAATAACATCTGAGTCCTCAGGAATGGCAACGCATGGGGGATATCATGGGCGAAACAGTATACACTGTTATGTCCATGGTACTGCTCATGTCCATAGACGACGGTTACCACTTTCCATCAGGTGGGCCGTCAGCTTGTTTGCCATTCTAAGTTGTATAAAAAAAAAGACATGTCGTATCAAAGTAAGTCGCCAACAAGTACTTCACCGATAAGAGTAGTGCTCTTAAAATAAATAAAAATCTTTAAAATAGATTATAACAAAATAAAAACTCAGGATCATTATGAGTTTTAAAAGATAGTCATGTTTCTGATGATAATGAATGGATAAAGATAAAGTTACCAAAAGTGGACTGAACTTTATATTTAAAAAGTAAAACAGAACTTACAAAATATTGCTTCGGCGAGGAAAAATAATGCTACAAGGATTACAGCAATGATCAACAGGCAACATATAAGTTTTAAAAACAGTTGCACACAGCACTTGCAACAACAAGCACAAGGATTTGGGATGGGAATGCAGCAACACCCACTGTCACCACCGCCAATGATGACGTTGCGGAAACTGAGAAGCGTGAAAAAGCACATTTTACTAAAAATATATATTAATACTAGCTGACCCGGCGAACTTGGTTCCGCCTGACAGTCGATTCTTTAATTTTTTAGTTATTTTTTATTATGATACCTACTTAATTTCATTTTATTTTTAAGCTGCGCGCGGTACTGGACAGTATTTGGACATTGCAACATTACTTTATTTTTCTAAAATAAACGTAGCCTAAGTTACTCCTTGTTACATCAGCTACCTGCCAATAAAAGTCCCGTCAAAATCGGTCCAGCCATTTCAAAGATTAGCCGCAACAAACAGACAGACAAAAATTGTAAAAAAAATTATTTTGATTTATGTACCGTATATATATTCATACACATGTAGTAAAAAACGGTTATTTCAATATTACAAACAGACACTCCAATTTTATTTATATGTATAGATGAGTATATAAGAATTCCATGTTGTAATGTTCGTCCACGCTTATTTCTGAAACCGTTCAACCGATTTTAATGAAATTTTGAAAATATGTATTGCTTACTATAACTTGCGAGACAGGATAGTTTTTATAAATAACAAAAAAATAGACTCGATAGGTGACGGCATGGGGTAAAACAACATTTTCCAGGTCCAAGCTGACCCGAATACGTTTACAACTCGTGTCAATTGGTATGTACAGTTTAAAGGTTGTCTTGAAAAAAATATTTTTAATAATAAGATCGCGTTATTATACTTGTGTATAAATATAATTATTGTTTGATATTTTTTATTTCCTATGTTGTATAATGAGAATACAAGTCACTCATTCATAAATGGCCTGGAGCAAAGAACCCACACATTCCTTCATCTCTCATGATCTTAAGCTTACAGATATATTTTCTTAGTGTCAATTAATTATTCTATTACCGCCTCTGTCTGCCTCAAGCTTTGACAATATTGAGTAACTTTAATAATTTAAAAATTATAAATTTACATAAATTGTTGATTCATTTCATTTACAAATTTATTTTTTTAATTACATATATACATGTATAAGTAAATTGTATTCTACCGAATTTATCATAGGGAGCGCTCTAAGGAATTTTTTGGATTGATACCTGCTGCTGATTTTCACTTGGTATAAAATAAGTATATAAATATTACATAAATTGCATCAAAGTACCACCCCAATTTTTTTAATACCAATGATATAAATACGTCTTTACATCTTTATAGTCATGCGTTCAAAATACTCCGTAATTTGTAAGCGACCGCAAAAATTATATATATACATATATATATATATCACATAATACTACAGTTTTCGCTAATGCAGATACAACTTTAATCTTTTAATATGCAGGATTTACTCCCGCTTTGGGCTCTTATATTTTTTTCACAATTGAAACCCTACAAAAACAACTCCTGGATTTGTTACAGTATTGCAAATTCTTATATTATTACTCGAAAATTTTATTGCTTATAGAAAAATTCCTTCGAGAGAAATAAAAATCTAGAATATTAATATAATAATAAATTTAATTGAAAATAAAATGTTATTTCTTAAAATTATACACTCTCTCGACTTATCTTTCATTCATAAGATTTTGGTACTCAGGATATAACGATTTTAAAATAACTCTAACAACAAATATATATTGAAATACTTGCCACATTGTTTAGAAAACGCCTCGGAACTGCCTGCCTTTTCATTGCAATTTATTTCAATTTAGATTTAAAAGTTAACAATTTTAATTTCGAACACAAATCGACTGGAGACCATCGCTATTTCAATATATTTATAAAAAATGTTAAAATTTAATTAAAAAAAACTCATTGTCTGTCAGCGGTAGGTACAACCTCACATGAACTACTATCATTAATATTCCTCTATGTTTATTGTACTCTTTGAAATACTGCAATTTCTTAGAAAGAGGTACTACTCTCAAGTCCTTAATCTATGTGTAGTTTCAAAATTAGAATTATTACAATGTACAATTTAGTTAAGGGAATAGGTACCTAAATTACTTTTTAGGGGAGGAGAGGAATTATTAATAATGGGAAAGTCAGATACCATTGTTAGTAATATAGAGTATATTATGTGATAGTTAGGCCAACCTCCTTGGAAATAAACATTCATCGGAATCGTAAATACGTAAAGGATAGTATCTGCGCACTTATGTTTGTGAAATAATATATTCTACCGTAATTCTTCTGATCATACCCATAGATAAAGGATAAATACATCGTTTTATGTAGATACCCCAGATACGAGTAAATTACTATTATGTATTCTTAACAATGAACAAAAACTCTCAATCCTTTGTTTTTTTTTTTTTTTTTTTATATGACTCAGAATGGCAAACAAGCTGACGGCCCACCTGATGGAAAGTGGTAACCATCGCCTATAGACACGAGCAGTACCATGGACATAATAATGGACAAATAATCCTGAGGACTCAGGTGTTATTCCTCTGTACCCTGTAAATTCACGCCATATCCCACTCTTCCCTTAGGTAATTAGATTTTTTTTTTAATATTATTGCTGGTCTAATTTTTCTTCGTAAAACATTTTTGGTCTTTAGAAAATTAAAAACAGATACCTCTCTGAATTCTGAGTAGTATTTTTTTAAATAAATACTTAGAATTCAGATTGTAGATTATCCCGTTGATTCGAGTTAACCTGTGATCCAGTAATTAATTCATAATTAAAAAATTATCAATATTTTTTAGTTCATTATTCAAAAAGTTATTTACATTATAAAAACATATTCTTATAAAACTGTAATGGAAAACTTAGATTTTGAGAATATATAATATTTGCAAACCAAAGATTTTTAAATAAATTAGTCAGAAATAATGAAAATTATTCAATTATTATTATTATATTGAAAATTAATAGATATCTCCGACATTGCTACGCTTCAGTAAGTTTCAGTATGAACCCTCTTAAATTGTAATATAATTTTAAGGCAAATTGTAAAATTAATTTTATTACATAACATCAAGGCCGAAAGTTGAAAATTTATGAGAACACCAATAATTGTTATTAGAAAGAACTTATTCATTCATTCATTTATTTTTTATAACACAGCGGACGAACGAGCGACTCATTTAATGGTAAGTGACTACCGCCACCCATAATCACCGACATGGTACTGCTCATGTCTATAGGCGACGGTTACCACTTTCCATCAGGTGAGCCGTCAGCTTGTTTGCCATTCTAAGTTGTATAAAAAAAACATCAAAGGATAATATTATATGAGATAATAATTTTATTTTTACTTTAGAACATTATCTTACCATATTTGTTTCGATTTAATATCAACGAAGCAGTAATTGTAACCGAGACCAATGCCCAGGCATAAAATTATCAAAATGGTGCAAACCATTCATGAAACTAGAGCAGCGCTCGCGAAGCATAGGACACACCTATAAACAATTGCTTTATTTTTCCTCTATTAATTCCTCTAAATGCACCTCCTACGTATTTTCGATTTGCCCAATGGATGACTGGTAGAGAACACTATCCGGTGTTAAGTCCGCCAAATGTACATAGAATTTTACTGTGCATTAAAGTTTAAATAAACAGAAATAAAAAAAAATTGTGTTATGTTAGGCTTTTGGTGATATTTTAAGAGGTATGCTGCCCATCTTTCGGCCATTAAGTTCCGTTAGTTGCCTCTTACAACACCCATGGGAAAGGAAGAGGTTGCCCATTCTATGTCGATACCACACGGCGTATCTATTATATTTAGTCATTTCTAATGATTGTGTACGATAGAGTCGATTTGGAAACCATTAAAAAACTAAAATATATATAAAATAATACCAGTTTTGATTTTAATTATTTTAATACACGTGTAAATAAATAAAAAGTCAAACATGTAACCACGATTAAAAAGAATACTATAACGATATTAGCTCTAATGTTAAATTTCTCTTTTCTTCTCTAAACTTTTTTATTAGTGCCAATAAATCCAATTTAGTGTACAGCGGCATTACTATAGTAGATTTTGGTAGAAAATATAATCTAGTCACTTTTTTCCTATGCCGCTGCGCTGGTATTAAATTATCTGTAGATTCTGACGACGTTAGAATATTTAATGATTCTGATTCTAATGATGTTTCGTATGTTATTGTTGTTGGTTCCGTAGTAGAAGTAGTGGTAATAGATGAAATTGTGTCTTTATTATTATCTTCACTACTGCTAGTGGTTCCTGAATAAATAAAATATTAATTTTACTTATAACTAACTTCTTTTTGTCTGTAATTTCGTACTTGTGGATTACAGAAGTAGGAAAACGAATGCATTAGACTACTTCTAGATGGCATATAAAGCCCTTCAAGAACGCAACTGCGAATACTGCATCCCATTTAGTACAGTATTTTTTATATGACGCCGGAACAAACATACAGACAAATAGACAAAACTTCTAAATATGATTTTTTGGCTTCTATTATGCTTATTAGGACTCCTCGTATCATTTTTTTTTTAAATATTATATATTATATTAGTAAGATAACAATATTATTAGACAAATCATACAATGCCATTTTTAATTTAAAACTAAATGAGTCTCAAATTTGTAATTTAAGATTATGTTTCACAAAACTCCAACTGTGGCAGTAAAAGTTAAAAACTAAATTACTGAACTGATTTTGATAATATTTCTATTTTCATATTATCCAATATGAAAATATATCCTTTCAGAAAAAAACATTTTCAAATCATTAACATCAACAGAGGTAAAAACATAAAAAAAAAATACAACCGAATTGACAAACTTCTTCTTTTGTGAAACGGTTGAAATCGCTTCAGATATTTAGCAAAATGATGCAAGAATTGGAAGTAAATAAAAAAATAACCTTTATCAAAAGAGTCATTCGTTTTGATGTCGACAAAGCAGTAGTTGTATCCTAGGCCGACGCCCATACCAAGCATCACCGTGAGGGTAAGAACGATGCATGTGACAACTGCTGTGAAAGCGCAGCATGCAGCCAATCTACACATAGATAAATAAATAGATGTTCTTTATAGTTACCCCTATTTTTTTCAAAGTATTACATTAGAAAACGTAATTACAAGTAATAGTTTATATCATCAGTAATCATTAGTCATCGTAAGTATCATAGATCTGTAGATCAAATCTCAATAGAGGAAGCTAAAAAATTTCATCATTGAAGTTGCAGGTGTCCTGCAATGCATAGACTACATGATTTAAATAAATCATGTAGTCTATGCACGTCGTGCATAGACTACGTGATTGTTTAAATCAGATGGCCTGTATTTTTGTCTGTCACCTTTGTGGTATGAAAAAATCAGATTTGTTTTAGGAAAAAATTCAACATTTTTGAAAGTGTATAATAATAATATAATATACTGTAATTGTAATATGTATAATAAATAGGTAGGTAAATAATAAGTAGCAAATATATGTTTTCTTGCTTTTAAAGTTGAATTTGTATTTGGCAATTTATATAAAAAATAATTCTAATTTTAAATACCAAGAATTCACATTACACACATAATATTATTTGTATTTAAACATACTAATTGCTAATTAAAATGCCCTCAAAGAGATGTTAACCTGATACTTTTCTAGGAAGCAAAAATTATAGAAACAAAATGTTGTCCGCTATAATATGTATAATGCACATTTTTAAAGTATAACAAATTTTAACTCAAATATATTCATAGAGAATACTTGTACCTTTCAAATATGTAAAATATATTGGAAAAGCACATATCTAATGCTGAACAACCGCCTCCGCTACATCCACAGCAACACATTTTGAATTAAAATATGATTTAATTATTCATATAATAAAATAATACAAAATTAAAATAATAAAAGTCCGTATCAAAAACAAAATAAATAAAGAATAACAAAAAAATCTATATCAAAAACGAAATAAATTATGACATCATAATAGTTGTAAAATTGTATCAATCAGATATGAATTGTATCAATCAGAGAATGCATGTAGATATTATTCTGCATCTATCAATCGATGTACTTTTATGAATTTTTTTAGTATATTAAAATATGCTAATTCTAAGATCTAATTATATAAATTATAATCATAAATATGAGTCTAATAATATGAATTCTTAGAATTTATAAAAACTACATTATAGTTTTAAAAATATAAAACAATCTGTGTCAATTTTGTAATTTGTTATTGTATGAAATAAGTTTTATAACTAGTTTTAGTGCAAAAAAACTTTTGACAGCAGTGCAGACATATTATCACATGTCATACTTATTACATATTGTATAAGCTATATAATTTTTGCCCAATAACATTTTTTTATTTTAGATTTTTTAAATAATATACTTTATTAAATTTCCACAATATGTTGGACTATACTATTTTAGAAAAGGAAATGTCGGAAGTTCTTAAAAAGTAAGTAATATAAGTTAATCATCAAGTTTAGATTAATAATAAAAACGCAATAATAATATATATTTATTTAACTACATTGTTGCCTCTTTATCTTGCTTTTATGAAATTAAGTTTTTTGTAATTATTTTTTTATTGTGTACATTTTGTTAATTTTTATCATTCATGAAGAGGACAATAAAGAGTTTTCATTTATACATAAATACATGATTTACTAATATTTTAAATGTAAAGGCTGAACCAATCGTCAGGGATTTGGCACAAAAGTAGTATCTGAATGGAGAAGATTGGGCTACTTTTTACACTTATCATAAGGACAAAGTTAACTAGTACTTTAATAAAAGTCTCTAGTAGTTAATTTCAAATTAAGCTTCACAAAAAAGAAAATTATTCAATCACTAGTTTTACCCGTGACTGCGTCCGCGTGACAGAGAGTGACATGTTCACTGACCGGGATAAAAAGTAACCTGTCCTCCTCCATCCCAAATGCCAACTGTATATTAAATTTCACAGTAATTGGTAAAGCCGTTAAAGCTCCATGAGGTTACAATAAAACGCTCGCTTTCATAATCATCATCATCATATCAGCCTTTAACTGGCCATTTCTAAACATAAGCCTCTTGGGGAGTTTGCCAGTAATTGTCATGCTTGACAGGCGGATGTGCAACCGCAGTCAGACTTTAGAGATATTTTAAGAGGGACGCTGCTGCTCATACATCGCCTTCCCTTAGTCGACTCTTACGTCACCCACGGAAAAGGAAGGGGTGGCCTACTCTATGGCGGGACCACTCAGCCATGGAAAATATTAGTATGGAATAAGAAAGTAAGGATAAGATTGACAAAATAAGCAACCAATGTGGAAGCTAATTCTATAGACTGTAAATAGAATAATCAAATAAAATGATCAAAATCGGATAATAGCATAATACATCCCAAAAATAAATTTAAAAATACACAGCCGAATGCTCCCTTTAAAAGCTGCAGTTCTCTCAAATGTGTGCACGTTATGTGCAAAGATAAGGACGTTCATTGCAGTGGCGCGAATTTATGACTTTAGCTTACCGTACTTTAGTTTAGTTCTTTAGCTTTAGCGTACTGATTTTTTTAAGCAACTTAGAATGCCAAACAAGCTGAAAGCTCACCTGATGGAAAGTGATAACTGTCGCCTATAGACAGAAACAGTATCATGGACATAACAGAATATATGTACCCATGATACCCCTCATGTGTTGTCATTCTTGAGGACTAAGGTATTATGTATTATTCAACCTAAATACAGCCATGCAAACACAATTGATTCAGACAGTAGTAGTGAGACAGAGGTAGCCAAGCACACGACTTGGCTGAAACTTACAACTGATGGTTCATACGCATATATATACGCGATATAAACAATATCATGGACATAACAGAGTATATGTACTGTGTTGTTAATTTAACAGTAATCTTAGGAATACTGCATATAATTAAAGGGCCTACCATGAAATGTTTTCCGAAATTTCGCGTCCGAACGAAACGCAAATTTGATATTAAAATGGCATGATACATATCGTTTAATAATATTAAAAATGCTAAAATATTTGGATATTTATATATGGTAAGATTTATGATGAACGAAATGTTAAGCTCTATTTAACGGGCCGATTTCGGTATGAATAAAAACACGAAATTGAGTCCGAAAATTCGGAATATTATTTCATGGTACATTCCGTGATTACGAACTTATTATTTCGCATTATTAAGTATTGAGTTCAGCTTATATAACGTTGTCCTGTGCAAGAATCCCACTCGATATACCGTTACTCTTTTACCGTCAATGATAACTAGTTCTTCAAGCTATGAGTAATGCCTGGTACAATGTGGCTTCAATTTTGAAATTTCTTATACTATTTACCACTTTGGTAGACCTTATAAAGAATGTGAAAATACTTTTTTCAATTATTTCGTTTGCATTAACAATCGGACAATAATATCTAAACAATTTCATTTTTTTTTATTGGTATGGTAACCCCGCCTGCGCTAACGGGATACGCTGGCGGGGCACCAGTGAATGGTGATCGATGGATGAAAACAGGCCAGTTAGCCCATCATGATGAATTCATCTGGAATTAATTATGATAGTTTCCAGGGGAAACCGTGAGGAGGTCGACCTGGTTGGGTATATTACTAGCAATGGGATTCTCAGTCTCCATTACTAACAATCCCTTTCCCCCCAACAATTTCATATTTTAAGTCGATAGTTTTACCGGTTACTATGATAATTACAATGTAACAGCCGGATGAACGAATCAAATCACACGAAACAGGTTCATACACATAAGAATAGTAGTAACAATATGGCATCATACTATTGTTACAACAAATCCGCATTAGTTACACGTGACTCCTGTTTTTGTCGACTTAAAATCATTTCAAGGATATTGAGAGACACTTTTTGTAATACCGCCTCCTTTACGGTGCCAATTGTCTTTGGCTGTTTCTATTATATTTGTCACGCAACATAGTTTTCATTGTCTATACTTGTACAGAATTATATAAATATAAATACAAGCGTAGAGATTTTTGTCGCATTTCAATTAAAACCCATCTACTTCTCCTATTTATTTAAAAATAAAATTAGCTTTAACCTGCAGTTTAGTCCGCTTGAATTGGAAACTTCCTTTTTTTGAAGATGGTTTGAAGTAAATAATATGTTATAAAACAAGTGTATAGGTACCTATATATACTCTTTTTTTCAAATATTAAAAATCTTAAATATTACAAAGTTAATTATTATTTTATTTGACACCCTTTAGACCTATCTAAATATTAAATCTCCGATGCAGTCGGCTATTTCCTTTTTGAATTTTTGAAAGAGCAGGCTTTATGATATAATTATTAATAATAGATAAACGACGGACTATGTGACCGGCGGTAGATAGATTCTAAATGTTTGATCTAAATCAATATTAATTAATTCCAGTGTACTCCGGGAGTTACTTAACCAATTGGTCACAGGCGAACTAAGATAAGAGGATGAGTCATTCAATTCGACCACCATTTTGAGATTCCATTTATTGCCTTCAATCAAAATAATTGAGAGATAATATTTCGTGTAGACGACTTAAGTTTCACTTTAATTTATCAATTTAGGTAGGTAAGCTATGTTTCCTCTATTTTTTTATTTACATTGTACCTATTTGTAATACATTAACTTTTACCAGTAATTTTATACGCGTGGATTTTGATAAGCACACTCAAATGACGCATTACAATTAAACATACACAAAATTTTAAATGAGACCTATAGAAACACGTATGAGAAAAACGTGTTTAATTTGAAGCAGTATTTTTTGTGTGTTATCGGAACAAACGTACAAATAGACAGACAGGTAAAAAAAATTGTTTTGGGGTCTATCGCTCTTGTTAAAGATCATATACATATTTTCTATGTTTAATGCAATGTAGGACGACCCTCCACTAGATGGAGTGACGATCTCAAATGCATTGCAGGGAGTCAGCAGATGCAGGTGGCTCAGGGCTGTTTCTTATAGCAGCCTATGGGTGCAGGCCAATGTTCAGCAGTGGACGTGATGATGATGATTATCTCCTATGTCGGTACAAACATCGTTTAGTTACAATTATATTAATAAGAGGTATTTGTTAAAGAATAAATTACGCAAAAAGGACTTTACCAGAGGGAGACTTTGTACAAAAGTCGATTGCTTGGGTACCTCTGTCCCATTTATGTTTCAACCGTGAAGCAGTTGTGTTTGCATGGTTGTGTTTCGGTTTGAAGGGTGGGATATGGCGTGAATTTACTGGGTACAGAGGAATAACACCTGAGTCCTCAGGAATGACAACGCATGGGGGGTATCATAGGCAAAACAGTATACTCTGTTATGTCCATGGTACTGCTCATGTCTATAGGCGACGGTTACCACTTTCCATCAGGTGGGCCGTCAGCTTGTTTACCATTCTAAGTTGTATAAAAAAAAAATTTGTTTTCACATCCGTTCTACGTTAAACAAAACTGTTTGTTCACACTAATTATATGGTATTGGGGATTACCCTTTATTATACACTAGGGAATTGACCCTTTATTTAAATCCGTCAGTTGGGTCCTCAGTTTGTTTTCTATTAATAATAAATTAATATTTATACCACACTTTTTAATTATCCCACTAATGTTATAAATGTGTAAGTTTATAAAGTTGCGTATGTTTGTCACTCAAACACGTTTAAATGACTGAACAAATTTGAATGAAATTTGATAGACGTGTAGGTTACAACCTGACTTAATACATAGGTTACTTTATATACTGATTCAAGCGGTTAAAGCCGAGGGATTATATATCTATATAGATATCTTGAAGCCTACTGTATTATACTTATTACAGTCTGTTGGCCGATTTTTTCGGCTTGACTAATACACAAAGATGGGGGGGGGGGGAGAAGGGATTGTATGTAATAGAGATTAGTAGCTCCATTGCTAGTAATATACCCTGTCAGGACGACCTCCTCGTGGTTCCCCCTGGAAACCATCGTAATTGTTTTATTGTTAGATTGGTCACGGTAGGGTAACTGACCTGCTTTATCCTCACCTATCACCCCTCACTGGT